ATAGTGGAATAGTTGAGGTTATTTAGATGTCTTTTAATAAAATAATACTTTAAATTGAAAATATATATATTAATTTTGGTTGAGTGTAAAAAATATGAAATAAATAATTAGATTTTGCAATGTAATTTCCGAAAATATTCTACAACATTTTTTTGTGCATAAGTGTCCAACCAAGCATCCTTATTATTCTAGGTTTAGGGGCTATATCTCCTTCACCAATAAGCCCATCCCTTTAATATTTATTATAAATAAAGGAAATATTCATGTATATGCCAATATTACCCTCAATCATTTATACCCAATTCTTAATTGTAACCCTAATTTAATCAATTTTGTCCACAAAAATCCAATTTAAACCACAAAAATTCAATTTTGACTTTTTTTTTTTTTTAAAAAAATTTGCCGCTGGATTCCGGCGTTGATTTTTCAAAATTGGAGCATACTTTAATATCCTCCAATCTCATCCTTAACTTAATTTAACCACAATTTGATCCTAAATTTCACAAACTATTCAATTTTGACCCAAATTTGTTTTTCAAAAAAAATTCTTTTGCCGCCGGATTCTGGCATTAACTTTTTCGATTTTTTTTTCTTTTCTTCCGGATTTTTATGCCGGTCTCCGGCGTTGACTTTTTTTAGTATTCTTTTAAGTTTTTTTTTTTTGTTTTGTTTTGTTTGTTTTTTTTACGTCCGGCGCTAAACGTTGACCGTAATTGTGTTGTCACTGACAGTAAATTAACGTAATTATACTGTCAATGATAGTTAATTAACGTAATTGTATTGCCGTTGACAATACATTTATGTAATTGTGCTGCCTTTGATAGTAAATTAATGTAATATTATTATTTTTTATTTTTTGTTATTTTTTTTTTATTTTGTTTGATTTGTTGACAAGTCAACGTAATTATATTACTGTCGTTGACAGTAAAATAACTGTAAACACAATAATATTACCGTCAACAACATCAATATTATTATCTTTTTGGGTTTTTTGTTTTGTTTGAGTTATTGACGGAGTAACGTAATAATATTACTGTAAACACAATAATAACATTACTGTTGTTATAGTAATATTGTTGTCAACCACATCAATATTATTATTTTGTTTGGATTTTTTTGTTTGTTTGAGTTATTTACGGAGTAACGTAATAATATTACTGTCTATTATTGTAATATTACTGTGGTTGACGGTAATATTACTGTTCTTATCGTAATATTAATTCTTTTAGCTTTTTATTATGTTTACATTTGTTGAACGGCCAACATAGTAATATTACTCTATTACACAACAATAATGAGTTTTGTTGTGTTTAATATTACTGTGCTAGAGATTAATATAACAACATTAATGTGTTAAACTGTAGTTTAGTTAATTTTACTTAAACATTGTTTAACAGTAATATAGTTAATATTACTGTCAATCACAGCAATATTCATGTTTAAACGAAAAAAAATGCTACAAAAAGAAAAGAAAAAAAAATTCCAAAAAGTCAACGCCGGAGACCGGTGAAAAAATCCGGAAGAAAAGAAAAATAAATAAATAAATAAATTGAAAAGTCAACGCCGGAATCCAGCGGGAAAAAAAAAATTGAAATTATCTTATTTTGAAAACAAAAAAAAGTTTTGGGTTATTTTAGTCATTTACAAAAATGTGGACCATGTATGGACTTATTGGTAAAGGAGTTTTTTGTCTAGATTTCTTTATGAATAAGTATCCATTGATGGGCTTATTTGTAATGACCCCTTAATAAAATGGTCTAATAAACATATTCTAGTATGTGTTTAGAAGGCTACAATTAATATTTCCTTGTTATGTACAAGTGTGGGCTTATGATAAAATGTATTAGATATATCAGTAAATATTCTAGTAGGTGTTCGATGCTTTTTCTATTTTTTTTCGTTTTATTATTTATTCAATTAAAAAATAACAATTATTTTTTTGGAATAGTTTTAAATAATTTTCTTAAATATATTTTTTTTTTTCAATTTTTTCCGCCTTTTTTTTTCAAAATCAACTACAAAATTTCTGAAATCAACACATTTTTTTTTCATTTTTTTTCCATTTTTATTTTCCATAATCAATTATAAAGTTATCGTAAACAACTACAAATTTGTGGACATCAGATTCATCAAATCAACTATAAAATTGAGAAAATTACACAAAAAGAAAAGAAAAAAAAAATAATTGCGAATAAACATGGCAAAAGACGAACAAGCGATTAAAAATTAAAATTGAAGATAAACCAAATGGTGTGAAATTGAATAGTTGATTATTCAATTCTTGCGAAGACCCGCCACCGGTGGTAGATGAGTGGCGGCACTGCCCTACGATTTCTTGGTCAAAATTATTAAATTGGGGTTACAATTAAGAATTGAGTGTAAAGGATTGGAGGTAAATTTTGTTATATACATTACTTTTCCATTTACACATAAATTAATTTATTTTTATAATTACCGTAGCGTTTCTTTCTTTTATATATAAGATATTCAAATGGATGGGTTTGTTGGGAAAAAAGATATAAACATGAACCTAGAATAATAAAATGGTTGGTCATGGATGATATGCATAATTGGACCGATCCAATGGGCCCACGATTTATTTATCCACCGGGTCACGAGCCCAATTTAAAAAACCACTACAACAAAAGCCCAAACACCTTCAAATGGGGTTTGAGATCAACAAAGTAAATCCAACCCAATCAAAGACATATAAATAAAGATTTTTACTAATTTGTTAAGATACGTTCCATTATACACAACAATTCTAGTGCTTATATTATCTCTACGATGTAACATCCCACCTTTCCATAATCCCAGAATCCGAAACCAATCTTCTTAACTCGAGAATCCCTAGATGATACTATTACGTGACATTAATTATGTGAATTGTGTGAGCAGATATATATGTGCTTTTATCTGACTATGTGAATTAATTTATGTAAATTAGTATTTTAGGATCATTTCTATTTCCGTAAGTTGAATTACTAATTAGTAATATAATATACATACATACATGTATAAATATACTGCATGCATACATAATCATTCTATACCTGTATATATATATATGTGTTTATATATATATATGTATATATATATATATATATATATATATATATATATATATATATATATATATATATATATATATATATATATGTGTGTGTGTGTGAGACCGTATGTATATGTGTGTTGTATGCATGTTGTCTTTTTTTTTTTTTATTAAAGAAAACTAGGGTTAATTTGCATGCCTTTCCACTTGGCAAATGCTAATTATTTTCACTAATTCCATACTCAAGAGATCCCAAAAAACACTCTTCTTTCTCTTTCTTCTTCCACATAATCCTCTTAGGGCATCTGTAGTGCTACTCCTAATTTACTATTTTGTCAGAACTTTAAAATATTGGAAGTGTTTGATAATTTTATCATCTCTAGTGCTTTCCTCTAGCCTCCCTAAAAGTGCCATGTGGCATGGGACTCCCAATTGAAGTGCCCACAGTTAATCCATGGTTGGGTAGTGTATATGGAGCCCTTTTGATTATTTTAAGGGTAAATAGCACTTAACCCCCTTGTGGTTTGAACATTTTGCACATGACCCCCTTATGGTATGAATTTAGGCACATAACCCCCTTGTGGTTTTGACATTTTGCACATGGCCCCCTTATGGTATGAAATTAGGCACATAACCCCCTTGTGGTTTTGAAATTTTGCACATGACCCCCTTATGGTATGAAATTAGCACATAACCCCCTTGAATAGAAAATTGGAAAAGACTAAATCACCCCTATCAAGTCAAAAGTTCTTGTTTTTATTTAAAAACAATTATTCTGTAAAATGAAAAGCTTAATGTATTTTTTGTAAAATGAGAAATATAATATATTATTGTGGTTTTTCTATTTTATCGCACATATATATTTTTTTAAATTTAATTTAATTTCAACTTTAAAGAAATGTTTTTTTAGATTTTTCCAAAAGAATAAAAAAAAATTGTTTCTTAAAAAAATTAAAGTTCGATAACAACTATAATATAATATATTATATAGAAAATAGTAATATAATAATCATAATTAATGATAATGTTAAAGATTTTCAAATTGATTTTTAAAATTAAATAAATTGTCAATCGTACAAGAATTAGTATTATATACCTTTTGTGCTGTTACACAATAATATATTATATTTCTCATTTTATAACAAAGTACATTAAGCTTTTCATTTTATAGAATAATTATTTTTAAATTAAACAAGATTTTTTTACTTGATAAGGGTAATTTAGTTTTTTCCAATTTTCTATTCAAGGGGGTTATGTGCTAATTTCATACCATAAGGGGGTCATGTGCAAAATTTCTAAACCACAAGGGGGGTATGTGCCTAATTTCATACCATAAGGGGGCAATGTGCAAAATGTCAAAACCACAAGGGGGTTATGTGCCTAAATTCATACCATAAGGGGGTCATGTGCAAAATGTCCAAACCACAAGGGGGTTAAGTGCAATTTACCCTTATTTTAATGTATTTTTGAAATTCGTGCCACACTAATCTGACTTTAATTATTTATTTTTTTCTTTTTTTTCCTTTATGAGAAGTAATAATTAATTCTAATAATTATTTAATTATTTTATAATTTTTAGAAATTACAAATTTAAATTTCATTGATTTTAATATTAATAGTAAAATAAATTTTATATTTAAATTCATTAATATCGTAAAACAAATCTTATATTTTAATTTTAATAATTTAATTTCACTATAATAATACAATAAATATTTATTTTACAATTCAATTTTAATTTCGTAAATACGTTAATTTTAATTTATTTGATTGTTCCACATATGTCTCTCGCATTCGTCACTTTTATTATAAGAAGTGTCAAAATAAATTGTCATGAAATTTAATTTTACTAAATTCGATCACAATATAAAATATAATACGAACAATGTGAAAATAAAAGAACATTAAATCATAACTACAATTAGAAATACTCATAAGCAATAGATATTTAGACATCTTCTTTTCCGTAGATATTCCACAAATGGTTCATTAAATCAGATCTCAAATCTTCATTGGTTCGTCGATTGCGGATCCGATTGAGACGTGCTGAGATATAGGCTGCCAAAATCGATGGATCACGTTCATATTGAAGGGGGCGAAAATTCTCTTCTGGAAGTGGTGCCCATGGTTCGAGATCAGTTCCACGTTCATCTTCTATAATCATGTTATGGAGTATAATGCATGTTTTCATTATATTACATATATTCTCTTTTGACCAATATCGAACGGGTCCTTGCGTTATACTCCATTTATTAATTTGTAGAGCACCAAATGCACGCTCCACATCTTTTCTAACTGATTCTTGTTTTGCCGCAAATAATTTTTCTTTCGCAGTGGTGGGATGAGCAATGGTTTGAATAAGAGTTGCATAGTTGGGGTAAATACCATCAGTTAAGTAATGACCCATCGTATATGAACGACCGTTTACCGTATAATTAACTGGAGGCATTCTACCATGTATCATATTATCAAACAGTGGAGAATGGTCCAAGACATTAATATCATTATTTCCACCCGACATGCCAAAAAAAGAATCCCAAATCCATGTATCATGCGATGCAACTGCTTCTAAAATTAAAGTTGGTTTGTGGTGGTGACCCCTTGTGTGTGTCGTGCCAAGCAGTTGGACAATTTTTCCATTGCCAGTGCATACAATCTAAAGATCCAAGCATACCTGGAAAACCTCGGGATTCACCTTCTTGTAGGAGACGATGGATATCATGTGCATTTGGTGACCGCAAGTACTGTTCTTCATAAATTTCGATTATCGATGAACAAAACTCTCTTAAAGTTTCAGTAGCAGTGGCCTCCCCTATCTTCAGATATTCATCACAGTAATCAGCGGATGCTCTATAAGCAAGAATCTGAAGTGCAACAGTTATCTTTTGAATAGATGAGAAGCCAAGACGACCACGTCCATCTCTCTTTCGGATGAAGTATCTGTTATGCTTTTCAATATCATTCTGAATATGAAGAAACAACTCCCTGCGCATCCTAAAACGCCTGCAAAAATAAGATGATGGAAAAGTACAATTTTCAGCAAAATAATCTTTCCATAATAAGTTATGACTCTCTTCGCGATCAAGATATATATATTGTCGCTGATGCGGTTGTTCCTCAGATGCTAAAATTAACCCTGGGATAAATTAATCATTTCTTGAGATTCTTTCTCCATACGAAGACAAAGAAGTTCTTTATCCTCTGAAGATGAGGATGAAGATGAAGAACTAGATGATTTAATGTGAGCAAATTCATTTGAAGGAAACATCCAGATGAAGAAGCCATATTTTGGGATAAAATTTATTGTGCATATACAATTCTATCAGAAGAAAATATTTATAGAAGCTGGAAAATCAAGATAATTTAAGTTAAGAAAATCATTACAATAATTGAAGTTGAGAAACCAATAAGATAATTGAATTTAAAAAGATGAAATAATTAAAGTTGAGATACTTGAGAAAATAATTGAGGTTCGGAAACCAATAAGATAATTAGAGTTGGAAAAAAAGTAAAAAGTAATTGACAAAATATCTGAAATTAGATAATCGAGAAAATAATGCACTTATAGACAGTGTGTAAAGTTGAGAAAAAATAATTGAGGTCTTCTGAAGCACATGTCTACAAAACTAAAATTGAGAAAATCGAGAAATTTATCCACTTAAAATCTATCCATGTATTTATCCACTAAAAATCTATCAACAAAACCTATCCACAAAATATCTATCTACAAAATCAACTGACATGTTAAAATCTATCTACAAAATTCTATAAATACTAGTTATACATGATGTTATCATTCACCCCTCCAGTGTAACACCCCGCATTTTCGGTAAAATAATTTTTACCACCTCTATGTGCATATTTGTGAACTTAGAATTTATAATAGTTCTTGCATGATTAGTATTTACGTGAATTAGGTAATTATGTGAAATATATGATTATGTGAATTATTGTGTGAATTATGTGATTATGTGATTATGTGATTATGTGAATTATGTGATTTCGTGAATTATGTGCTTAGGTAATATTTCGAGATATTATGTCGAAATAAATTATCTTCATGAATTAGGATTTTATTCTTTCATATGAATTTAAATAGGCATCTCATCATATTTATGCATGCACAAAATTTTAGAAAAAAATAAATTTTCTCATGCATTTTAGGATTTTTAATTAATGTAGAAAATTACAAAATCCTCCCCACATTTTCTTGAATTTCCGGACATCAACACACACACACATGATTTAAAAATTGCATATTAATTACTAGTAGACATGCATTGGTGTGGTTGTATTTTGAGCATAGAAAGAAATACCCAAGCCTAGCCCCCTACTCTATAGACTTGGTATGCTTTCCAACTCCCACACACCACTTTAAGGCCGAAAGTCTTTCTTTCTTCTTCCTCTCCCCTTCATTTTTAGGCAGCCATATCACCTCCACCATAGCCACCATTTTCTCAAGCTTGAACCACCCAAGAACCACCACCACTCCTACTTTCAAAAATTTCAAAATCACCCCCACAAAAGATGTATTTTCCTTTCTTCTCCATTGGCTTTGAACTCTCAAAAAACTCTATAAATACCTCCCATGCTCAAGATCAAAATTCACTATCCACCTCCAATCTCACTATCTATAAGTTTAAGGTCACCTTCTATTTCAACAAAAGGAGAATTTTCGGCCAAGCTTAGGAGTAAGCTTCTTCTTCCTCTTTTCTTTTTCTTTTTTCGAAAAGAGCCAAGCTCTTATTCATCCAAGTTCTTCTTTTTCTTCCTCTTCTTTTCTTAATACCTAATCTAACTCTTAATCTCTTCTTGTATTAGAGATAAAAGAGCTAACAAATCCTTCCCCTAAAGAAAGATGTGAGAATTCTTGAATTCTTGCTCAAACATGCAACACCACTAGTATTTTCGGTTTTTATGTGTTTTTATTGTCTATCCTTGCATATTATGTGATTATATGTTTTAGATGATGATTGCATGTTAGTGTTTTGGAAAGATAACTTTGTTCTTGAAGGTTTATGCTTTTTAAAAAAATTGGGGAAAAATGCTTAAATTGCTTATTTGGTTTAATTGGTGCCTTGCATGTGTTAATGTAGTGTTTGATTGTTGATTTGTGAAAAGAAAATGAATTTTTGGCCTAGCCATGAAACTTTCGGATTTTTGGGGGAAAAATGTTTAAATTTCTTATTTGGCTTAATTAGTGCCTTGCATGTGTTAATCTAGTGTTTGATTGTTGATTTGTGAAAAAAAAAATTGAATTTTTGACTTAGCTAATGAACTTTCGAATTTTTGAGGTAAAATGCTTAAAATTGCTTATTTGGTTTATTTGATATTTGCATGTGTTGATCTTGTGTTGATCGTTGTTTTAAGGCCTTGCATGTTAAGATTTGGTGATTGATTGTTGATCTAAGGTCTTGCACGTTAAGATCTAGTGATTGATGGTTGATCTAAAGTCTTGCATGTTAAGATCTAGTGTTTTCTATGTAAAATGATGAAAGAAATAAGATTTGTGCTAACTTGATTTAGATTACTCTTGCATGTGAAGATCTAGTGTATTTATTTGAATAAATGTAAAGATGGAAGTCTTGAATTTTATTCTTGTAAAAATGCTAGATTTAATGAACTTTTGATGTTAGATTGTCTTTGTATGTTAAGATTTCGGTTACTTTATGTTTTTATGGTTAAATGATTTTGTGAAACTTTATGTGTATTTTCTATGTGCTCTTGCTTGCTTATGTGAATCATTGGGTGTGAGGATGAGAGAAGGGTAAGTAGAAGGGTGCATGTGTGGGTGCATTAGTGTCATGAAATTTTAAAAGATAAAACTATGATGGAAAGTCTTTCGAGGTTACGGTAAATTTCCCGGGTACGGCGAGTCGGTACCGTAGGGCCTAGGGGTGGTTTGATCCCACGTAGATAGACAGATTCGAAATATATGAGGTTATTTACCGGTAACTTAGATTGACTCTTCCCAGGGATTCCCAATGATTTTTCATGTCATGCATGTTGCATTATGGTGTTGAGGATATAGATGGGAAAATCTCACTCTATGGTCTTGGGATCGTAGGGTTATAAAGGTGAGAAATTCTCATTCTATAATCTTCAATACGTGTCATGGCATAGGGTTATAAAGGTGGGATATTCTCACTCTATAGTCTTGGGATCATAGGGTTATAAAAGTGGGAATTATCTCACTCTATGCGTGTGGCAATTATGTGATGAAGAACTCCGACGAAAAAGGGAAGTATATGATTGTGTTACTTAATGTTGCATGTTCATGTATAAGATATATGTATGTATATATAGATATATGTATGCTCTATGTGTTATGTGTATTCGATAATACTTCAAGATTCTCATTGAGTCCTTAAAGGCTCATATAGTTGTTGTATGTTTGTAGGTATACCCGATTTGGAGCCCGATGAGTGAAGTTCGGAATCGAGCTCGAGAATCGGAAGGAGATCGTATGGAGGGGTTGTGGATTGTGTTGGCTCTTAATTTAGTTATGTGGTTCTATTTGTATAATATGCTTAAAAACTTTTGATACGGTTTTAGGTATTTTCTACCGCTTGCTTCCTCCGATTGGTGAGAATTATTGAAAGACGATATGTGTAATAGTAATTAGGATTACCCCATTTTGGATAATTAATTGGTAATTCGTAGTCTTTTGTAAGCGAAAGCAAATTTTTACTATTTATATGCATGCACGCTTTTCGGGTGTTTTCTGGTCTAACTAGAGTTTCACTCCCTCAAATGCCTTGTTTCCACTTGGAAAATGTTTTAAACTTATTTTTCTGCCTTGGGGTAAAATTTGGTAGTTTTTGGGTCAGTGCGGAATTTATTATGAATTTTCAAAACTCCCTCCCCTGTTCTGGATTTTAAACTGAGTAACTGTGTCATTTTATTTATTTCTCCTAAATGGCCATGCATCTTTCAAAACTGTTTTAATTGAATGATATAGACCCATGTTAGATGGTATAGTATTATTTTGGGGTCATTTGCATGAGTGGTTTAAGAGGAATTATTTTTTAAAGATTCTGCATTGAATCTGTCCGAAGTTGCATTTAGTCCATCATGCCTAGTTATTTTCTAGTCTTGTATGTAGCATGCATTGGTGTTAATTGGTTGATTAGGGTTTAGTATAGTGTGACCTCTCTCCCTCTTATTTAAAAAGAAATTTTTTTACGTAAATTTATATCCATAAAAAAATTATTTTTAAAAGTCTTCCGCTGAGATTACATATAATAAGAGTAATCGAGAGAGGGATGTCACAAACTTCGTGAGAGGAAGGCAGCAAAACCGATTTTCAAATAAGCCTTCCTCCAGTAACCAAAATGTTTCTCAAAATAGTTCTCATCAAAACAATTTTCAAAAGAAAAAGGGCAGGGGCAGGAGTAAGTCGAAAACTCATGTTAACAATCGTAAGTGCTATAATTGTGGTGAACCTGGTCATTATGCTCAGAACTGTACTAAGCCTAATAAACACTCTAATTATCAGCATGCTAATCATGTTTCTCATAATAATCTTGGTGATGTGTTTATGGTTGGTGAACATGCTTGTGTGAACTCTGTGCTATCATCTCTTGGTGAAAATGATTGGCTTTAAGATTCTGCATGCTCACATCATATGACTCCTATGAAACATTTTTTCTCCTACTAGCTATAAATCATTTTTTCTCTCAGTATTCTGCATAACAATCACTATTTTGGCAATGATAAAGTGTCTGAGGTTACTATGTGTGACTCTTGCATCGTTGGAAAGCAAACTCGTGTTTCTTTTCAACCAACCCCTTCCCCCAATCCCTCTAAATGTTGTGACATTCTTGAGTATGTGCATGCTGATGTGTGGGGTCCTGCCAGTGTTCATACACATGTCGGGAACCGTTACTTTCTGTCCATAATTGATGATTTCTCTCGTATGGTGTTTGTTTCCTGTTGAAACAAAAATCTGATATTATTGATAAGTTCAAACATGGAAAGTTTATATTGAGAATCAAACAGGTTAACGGATAAAAACCTTTAAGACAGATAACGGTACACAATTTTGTAATCAAGAAATGGATGCTATGTGCTCTGAATCTGGTATTAAAAGGCACAAAACTGTTCCTTACTCCCCTCAGCAAAACAGGGTGGTTGAACGCATGAATCGAACTCTTTTAGAGAGGGTTCGAGCCATGCTCGCCACTTTGGGTTTACCAACTATGTTTTGGGGTGAGGCTGTTTTGACTGCCACTTATTTGATTAATAGATCTCCCTCTGTGCCTTTTAATGGTGATTTGCCTGAATGTGTTTGGTCGGGTAAAAAGGTTGCTTTGTCCAACTTTCGTGTTTTTGGTTGTACTGCATTCATGCATCATAAAACTAATAAGCTTGAACCCGTTCTGTGAAATATGTTTTCTTGGGTTATCCTGAAGGAGTTAAAGGTTATAGACTTTGGGTTAAAGGGGGACATGGCTATAAAACTTCTATTAGTCGTGATATGATTTTTAATGAATCTGAATTTCCTTGCCTTCTTGTTAAATTCAGAGGCTGCTCGAAATAAGGTGGAGCTGCCTACTGTTAAATCGGAAAATGTGCCTAATATTGAATCTGAAATACTTGAAAGTTTGCATGACCAAAATATTCAACATGACTTGCCTAATGTGGATGACTTGTCTGATTATCAACTTGCTAGAGAACGACCTAGACGTGAAAATGCTAGGCCTCCACAACGTTTTGATAGCTTTCATCTTGCTTCTCATGTTTTCAATGTGTTTGAATCTATAGATATCAATGAACTTAAAACTGTTAGGGATGCTCTAAAGTCTGATAATCAGCTGAATGGTTAAATGCTATGAAAGAAGAAATGAACTCTTTGCATGTTAATCAAACTTGGACTCTCGTTCTTAAACCTGCTAATTGCTCTTTGTAGACTGCAAATGGTTATTTAAGGTTAAGGATGAAGTAGAGTCCATTAGGTATACGACCCGTCTTGTTGCTAAAGGTTTCACGCAAAAGGAAGGTATAGATTATACTGAAATTTTTTCTCCCGTTGTTAAATTTACCACGGTTCGTATTATGCTTGTATTAGTTGCGGATTTTAATTGGGAATTAAAACAAATGGATGTAAAAAATGCTTTCATGCATGGTGAGTTAGATTAGCATATTTATATGAAACAGCCCGAGGGCTTCTCATATGCTAAAAAGCTTGAATATGTGTGTTTGCTGAAAAAATCTTTATATGGCTTGAAACAATCACCTAGGCAATGGAATAAGAAATTCGATTCTTACATGCTTTCATTGAAGTTTAAGAAAAGTGATTATGACCCTTGTCTTTACTTCAAAGATACTCACTATGTGCCTATTTTCTTTCTTATCTATGTTGATGATATGCTCATAATCAGCCCTTCTGTGAAATCTGTTGATCATGTGAAAACGCGTCTAAGTGAACAATTTGACATGAAATACTTAGGG